AAAGAAATGTCAAAAACAACATGGAATCGCACTAAAGAGTTAATTCATTCCCATGAAGCTAAATGAAGAGCAATTTTATAATTAAAAGCCTGAATAGCAGCCTTTGACAACCAAGATGACCTCAGCTCAACACTGGTAATGCAATAATAACAAAATGGCCTTCCCCCAAGCCCTGGGAAGTCAAACTCCAGAAGCCCATGAGGTGTCACATACAGGAGCTCAGCAGGGTCTAGGGGTGACCAGTGAAATAGTGCATTCACATTCTCAGTATTCTACCACGAGTCCTCTTGGTTGCTTCCGAGTCTTGGCAACCATGAACACAGTTGTTACAGATATCCATGTACAGGTTTTGGGAGGGGGACAAAAGTGTTCAGCTCTTTTGGGTAAATGTCAAGGAGCACAAGTGCTGGATCATACGTTCAGTTTTGTAAGAAATCATCAAACTGCCCTCTAAAGTGACCGTACGATTCTGCCCTCCCACCAGTGATGAATGGGATCAAGCCTTTGGTGCTGTATCTAAAAAGTCATCGCCACACCGAGATCACACAGGTTATCTTCTATGAGTTTTATGGTTTTGTGTATTGAGGCTTCTTATTCATGGATGAACATGGAATATCTCTCCATTTATTTAGTTTTTCATTGACTTGTTTCATCAGAATTTTGTAGTTTTCCTCATACAGCTCTTACACATATTTTGTTAGATTTATAGCTAGGTATTTCATTTTGGGGGGGGTGCTAATGTAAATGGTACTGTGTTTTTAATTTTAAATTCTACTTATTCATTGTTGCTATATATGAAAATGATTGATTTTTCTATATTAACATTATATTCTGTGACCCTCTTATAATTATTAGTCATGAGTTATTTTGTTGATTCTTTCACATTTTCTACATAAATGATCATGTCATCTGTGAACAAAGATAGTTTGCTGTCTTCCTTTCCAAGTTGCGTATCTTTTCTTACTGCATTAATTAGAACTTCCGGTTTGATGTTAAAAATGAGTCATGAGAGCAAACATTCTTGCCTTGTACCCAGTCCTAGTGGGAAAGCTTCAAGTTTCTCACCTTTAAGTATGCTATTAGCTGTAGGGATTTTTTGTAGATATTCTTGATCGTGTTGAGGAAGTTTCCCTGTGTTTTTGTTGTAGTTTACTAAGAGGGTGTTTTTAAAAAGCATAAATGGGCTTTGGATTTTCTCAAATGTTTTTTTCTGCTATTGATATGATCATGTAATTTTTCTTCTTAAGCCTATTGATATGATAGATTACATTAACTCATTTTCAAATGTTGTGTCAGCCAGGATAAATCCTACTTCATTATGGCATAAAATTCTTTTTAAACATTGTTAAATTCTATTTGCCAATATTTTGTCTTATCTTTTTTAATGATGAAATGAAGTTTAAGCTTTCAGGCTTCTATTTTCAAGTGCTTTTCTGAAAATAGTGAAAAGTCTTAATTCCCCCAAATATGAAATGTCAAATTAGATAAAAATCAATACTCTATTTCCTATTTTAACATTTGTTTTTGAAGAATAAAATTCCTATTAGAAAAATAGAACTGACAGATTTACCAAAGATCATTCTGAGGTTAGTTCATGGAAGACATCAATTTTAAACTCATTATTAGTTTGTTACCTTTCAATCAGCAGCTTTGTGTCTTCAGTCAATGGTTTTTGTGTATATAATTTAGATCATAAATTAATATAAGAAAGAAGAAGACTACATAACACTGTATAACGGACAAACCACCAGAATTGCTGGGGTTGGTGACGTAGAACTTGACCACATGCGACGACATGACATGGCCCAGTGAGTTGTCACCCACTCTAGGGCTTGTTGCTTCTGTATACGCTGCAGGGCTCTCAGTGGGTCTCTATTCCAGGGGGAAATATGTGAGCCAATACTCAGTCTAAAACATAACTGGAAAAAAATACCTTTGCTATCTGTAACATGAATTTCCTGGGCTGTCTCTGCGGTTACTTGTCCCAATCTCTTTTGCCAACCTCTACCTTAACTTTAAATATAGTAGTGTTTTTGAAGATTCAGTAAGCCCTTCTTTCTTCTCAATTTTTTCTCTATATAACCTCATCGACACTTGAGGTTTCAAATATCCTGTATTGACTAGCGGAGATTTCTGTCTCTAGCCCGGACACTTGTCCTGAGCTCAGAGCCTTACACACACCTACTTATTCAACGTATCCATTCGAACAAGGCCCAAACTTAGCCCTTGGTCTCATCCCAAACCCAGACCATCTCAACCACAAACCAACTTCTTTTGAGTGTTCCCTGGTCCTCAAAAATTGGCACCATTGCTCACATCAGAAATATGCGTGTTATCTTTGATATGCCCCCTTTCTCTACCCAACACGGCCAATCAATCATCAAGTACTGCTGATTAAATTCCTAAATTCTTCGCAGGTATGTTTACTTTTCCCCACATTGCAATTATTGTCCCGCCAAGCCTGAGTCACCATCGCCGCTTGGCTAATTGCCCCGCCAGCTCCCTAACTGGCCTTGTGTAAACACCAAGGCCCGATTCAATCTGTCATCTACTCTGAAGCTGAGATGCTATTTCTAAATGCCAATTTGATCACATCATTCTCCTTTATTTTTTGAAAGGCTTTTTAATTTCTTCCCTTGTGTAATAGGCTAGTAAAATTCTATAATAAAAACTTAAAGACCCACCTATAAACCTGGCCTTGGTCTACCTCTCCATTCTGATCACCTGCCTTTCTTTCCCTTCTTCTTTATGGAAATCACAGTTTCTTCCCTACCCTGAAAGGACTACCTCAGGCCCTTCACTTTCATAGTTTTCTTAGAACGGGATCTGGCAAACGTTTTAGATAGTCATTGTTTTAGACTCGCAGGCCAGCAGGCCACAGTCTGTGACCCAACTACTCAACTCTGACATTGTGGTAAGAAAGCAGCCACTGTGTCACTGAGCTGTACAAAATGGGCAGCGGCCTTCGGCACAGTTTGGCAGCTCCAGCCATCAGAGGCTAATAATCCCTAATCTGTTGCTGACAGATTCATTTCAAGTATTATTTTCTCTTTGAAACTCTTTCTGGTCAGGACTCCCCTTAGAAAATGTGTTTGCACCACAAAGTATATTTCTCTTTCATAGAAATGAACATTACTATAATTAATTAGATATTTATAAAATTCTTTTGTCAGTATCCATCTTCCCTATGGGGTTGGAAGATCTTCCAGCTTCCCTGTTAGACTGGGAACTATATTTATTTTGCAATTTTATTACCAGCATGTGGCGAAGAACATGGCAGGTAGTAGCAATCAATAAATGCTTGTTGAATGACTGAATGATTAATTTACTCTCGGACCTTCAGTTGACGATTTTATCTTTCTGAGCCTTAGTTCTCCATCTGGAAATGGTAATGATAATAACAACTACTTTCCAGCTTTGTTTCAAGGTAAGACAATACGTGTGAGTGAGTTTGGTGAGCTCTAAAGCAATATACAAATATAAGAAAAGCAGATTCAGAAAGATGCCTTGGTTGCCTAGCACAGGGCACATTACAGACCAAGGGCAAATCAATCCTTTGCTTGTTTTGCTGGCCCTCTGGCTAAGAATGGTTTTTGCTCTTTAAAGGGCTGTTAAAAAATAAAGATAAAATCAAAACAAAGTCAACGGTGTGACCCCGACCATGTGTGGCTCCCAAGGCCTAAAATATTTTACTCTCTGGCCTTTTCCAGCAAGTTTGCTGACCCCTGACCTGCTTGAGCTCAAGTACACATGTTAATGTGTCAGTACATGAATGACTATTACTCTGCAAATATACCTATCATTTAGCACTTTGCTGACCGAAGAGCGGTGCCGTTTTCTGACTTCCTTTCTTCTATCCAACAGAGCAAGTGATCAAAGTGGTAAATGGCCCTCCACCCCTGGGATTCTATGTTCACTTTAAATTAAAATATAAGAAAATAAAAGGAGTCTATAAACATTTTCATTTGCTCTCCACTATAGCAACAGTTGGTTTTGAAACCGATAACACATGGGATTCCTAGGGAGGGGAAGGGAGTGGGGAGGGGAGCTGGCGGCCAAGGGACTCTCTTCCCTGGGAGGGTGACCTCGGTTGTTGCGGGTGCAGAATGTGGAGGTCGGATCTATGGGAACCTCTTCACGGTATGGTGTCAAATACTAAGCCCCCCTCCCCAGGAATCCAACATTACACAGAAAGTATAAATGACACGTTTACAAGAAATGATAAGGGGCTGTGTTCACAACAAAAAGTACTGCACAGAGGAGGGAAGGAATTTGGAGTCACAAGATCAAAATGCAAGTCTGAACTCGACCACTTAATCTGTCACCTTAAGCAAATGCATTAGTCTCTCTGAGCTTGAGTTTCTTCATCTAGAAAAAGAGAGTAAATATCACTGACACTGTTCAGTAGAAGGCTATTATGAGCCATGTGCTTTACACATATTATATTTGATCTTTACATGAAACTGCAAAGTAGGTATTATTAGCCCCAATATATAGATGATGAAAATAATGCTCAGAGAGGTCAAGTAACTTGCTCCAAGTAACACTGCTGGGAAGAACCAGAGTTTGGAGTTGAATCTTGACTCTAGCAATACTATCAGTACCACCTCTTATTAGATCTGTAACCTTCTGAGGCCTACAACATGTTTTATCTTACAAAAAACATATAAAACCTAATTTCTAGAGAAGTTCTGAAATTCCTCCATATTCCATTACCAACGTACACCTTAAAGGCGGGTGGTTTTCCTACAGTGTTCTATGTTAAACCTAATTCTATGTCTTCAGAGAAGAGTAAAGAGGGAAGGTGCTTTCCTCTTGGCATATTATAAGAGCCATGTAAGTGGAGAAAACATAGGTACAGAAAAGTATTAGGCTTTGAGCATGTCCATTAAGTAGCTGAGTGATCATGAAGTCTATTTATTCTGCAGCATTTTCACTCTGTTTATGAATCAAACACATTCAATATATGGCACATCAGTTGGTTATTTAAGCTTTATTACCTTTGCTTCATCATCTCATGTAGCCTCCCATGTTGGACACACTGTTCCTCCAATTCATCATTTCTCCTCTGTAACTTTTTCAGTTTGTCATATGTGTACCTTTTTTCTTGACTGAGCTGAGCTATTTCAGATCTAGAGAAGTAAAAACACAGAAATAAGAGATGTGAAAGGTTCTTACTACTAGAGCATGTTTTGATTGTATAAACTTAACATAAACTCCACATTTAAACATAGCTGTAAATAAAAATATGTTACATAAAATATTTCAGAAATTGCAAAATATCCATTAGAGGGATCTATACAGCAGGGACTCAAGTGGTAGACGGATAAAGGAGTGACAACTTACTCTAAATGAGATGGCTTCTCCAAGGGACAAGACAAAAATGATAATGATCGAACTCCTTTTTAAAAAGACTATCATTCATTTACCAAATATTTACTGAGTGCCTATTTTAACCCAGCCACCATGCTTTACTGTACAAGGAACAACCCCTGGCCTAATTTCTAAAATAAAGTGTTGTTTCTTTTAATTACCATAGCTAATTAATAGCACATGATTAAAAGCATTTAATCCCAAAGACATAATATTGAAAAATGCCATTCCTCTGCCTCCTGATGCCTCCATCCAGCTGAGCAGTGACAAGCAGCTTTCAATATTTTTTAAGTTATTTCTTCTGGTATTTATCTCTGTATTTCTTAATTTGCTTATATCAATACCTCATATTCCACCAATTAAGAAATCTCTACTTATTCATTTTGGTAGATGAAGATTAAAATCTTTCATATGCCCCCTTCCCCCACCTCCACCTTGTCAATGTACTTCACTGCGCATTTCAGCTTGTGGTTAAACGGTTATCAGTATCCATGCTATAATGACTACCTAAGTATTGGTCCTTGTTGTCTAAGTGGTCTGTTATGATTACATTTGCATTCATGTACATTTATTTTCCCCAAACAGGTGGGCCGTAGAGTCGAGTGATTGAGCGTCAGGCTATCTTTTCCTAGGGAGATTCCCAATATCAGTATTTGTGATTCTTTCCACTGTGGCCTTTCTGTTTCTCAAGAGAATGGGCTTCCGGTTTCCTGCTTGTTGTGTACACCCTGACCGTCAGCAGCCTCAGCGCTGGGTGGAAATGGAGGGCTGAGGACCTCACCTTTCACAAGGCACACTTTCTGTCAACCCCTCTATTCTAACTCAGTGCCCCTATCTTAACCAGACCCTGCTGGTTGACTCTCTTCAGAGAGGAAGCCCCTTGTTTTCTAAGTTGAGAAGAGACAGTCACCTGGCTGCATGGGGTAGAGGTGAAACTGATTTTGGATTCAGTCCTATGTGCTACTCCTGCCTTCCTAAGTTTTCTGGAATCCTGGGAGCAGAGCAGCTTGCTTCAGTAGACACTTAAGATCACCTTCCTCCACTTTGCTATGTCAGATACCATTTCCCCAGTCTCCTCTCTGTCTCCACGTATTTCGTTTGTGATTGTACACATCTACTCTGGTGATGGCTGATGTCCCTCAGGAAATATGTTACTTTTTTCTTGGATGACTCTCTCAAATCTCAGAATTTGAAGAACAGAAAGATGTCTGTCCAAGAAAAATTGTATCCCTGTCCTTCTTTTAATTAAATATTGTTCCCACTACCACCGTCTTTTCATGATCTACTGCCTCACAGGTTAGAACTGAGACTTGAAAACTCTTGCTCATTAAAACGAGTTAACAATGGGTTTATTTCTTGAAGTTTAAGTAAGACACTTGATGTAAAATTATTTCCCTCTGAAGAAAGAATGCCTCCATTAGGGGACATAGCCTGTTGGTTCTTCTTGGTCAAGAAAAGCTTTGGAGTTGCCCATGGAGTCCATCCCAAAGAACTCGCTGCCTACTGCAGACGAAGCTCCTGCAGATGCAGATTAGTTCACCTCAGTCCTCATTTTGATTTCATCTTGGTTCAAGTGTCACGTCAAAGGAAGCTTGCCCTGATTAATACCTTGCGGTTCTCAATATGTCAGCACATTTTCTGAAACTACCTCTGGCTTTTATGCATACATTAGCCTGTAATTTATTCCTCGGAGTTGTGCTCTATGCCTCATCTTTCTTACCAGATTATACAGGAGGGCATGAATTATCTCATTTTCAAGCTCAGATCAAACACTCAATCTACATTTGCTTCTCCTAATAAGAATTTACCCATATTTGAAATAGTCTAAATCAATTAATAATGACTTAAATGTTTCTCCTCTCAAAATCACATACAATATAAAAGAATTTGGGGGCAGTCTTCTAAGACATTAATTTAGTATTCTTCCAAGATTAGTATCTCTTATCATAATATGCACTGAAATAAAATTCTGAAAGGACAAAAAAAAAATCACTATACCAAATTAGGAAAAAATGCAAAGGAATATTTATCTGTTCTTAGGTAATTTCCCAGGAAAGAAAAAGTCACTTTTCAAAAGAAAAGGCATGAGGGAAACACAGACTTTATAATATAAAAATAGAAAACTTTTTCAAAAAAATCATAATGCTCATTGTAGCATTGTTTTGTGGAGCAACCTTGCTCTGCAATGCAATAGCTGATATGAGTACATATATACCAACCAGAATTTAGGTCAAGCACGTTAAAAGGGTTCATATCTTTGGATGAGCAATCATCAAAAATTCAGACATAGGTACAAAATTATTATATTATAACAGTTAAACATTGGAAACATGTTAAATATCTTACGAATACAAATTACTCAATTAAAATTATATTTCCAAAGTACTTAGTGATATAGAAAAATGTTCACCAGATAATATTAAGTGAAAAGGCAGGATGCAAAACTGCATTTATAGTATAATCTTGCTCACAATATACATGTATGTTACATACATATTTACATGCACATAGAAAATGACTGAAAGGAAAAATGTTAATAGTCAACAGTAGTTAGTTAGTTGGATGGCAATGCCATAGGGAATTTTTTCCTTCATTCTTCTTTGTATTTATATCCAAATGCCTTATATTGAGAATGCCTTACAGGATCCCCCAAAATATACATGTTATTTGTAAGGTACATAAATATCAGGTATTTTATTGCTACAGTATTTGTTCTGTTTTGTATATTTTTGGACTTTTTTTCTTTGTTTATAATGATAACTTGCCTACCAACTTCCAATGTACAATAAAAATTTGATAAATGTACGTGGGCATCATCTTTTCTCTGCCTGGAGCCCAAGACATATTAATGAACTAGTTGTTGGCAAAGTCGAAAGAATAAACTTACAAGTTTCTATGTTAGTTTGAGATTACATCTGTGGCATGATTATCCTAACGTCATACAAAATGATAATTGACTGTAATCCATTTTCATAGAAAATTTAGGTACTTTCTGGCTTTACAGAAACACGAACTTTTCCCTGCATTTTTATACACCAGTTATATTGTGTAATTGCACTGGCATGAAATATAATAATATTTTACTACTATCATTAGGATTGCAGTGATAATTGCTTTTTAGGAGAAAACATGATCCCTTAATTTTTTATTCTATTAGATTCTCATTTGACTTTTGGTAACAATTATCAGAGGCCGGTATCAGTCTCCTCTTGCAGAATATAATTTTTGTAGCATTCCAACCTTACATCTAAACATGCAAGGGGAAAAAAAAACTAGTTCAACCGGGTGTGTGTTCTTTACTTCAATTAAACTCACACAGTTGGATACCTACTGTTGCCAAACCAGTAATATAATTTATACATTATAGTCCACACAGTAAAACTACACTAAAAGTCATTTAACAATATTTATAACACCATAAAATACAGTGTTAAAATATATGAACTGCAATATGTACCAAAATTATAAAATTTGTTTCTCATCATCAGTGATTAAAACCAGGATCATTGCTCTAGCCTCAATACCCACAACCCTGGTGACAGATTAGAATTCAAATCTTAATGATCAATTTACAATTAACAAGATAGAAGTGAAACAAATTAAACCAACCATTATATATAACGAGACCCAGTGGACTCCCATTGTTCCTCTTAATTACAAAACGCAAATCACAAATTCGCAATGGGCAGGGTTAGACATCAATCCACAAGCCTAGCAACCCAGAAAGCGACGGTGACGGAAAAGAATGAAGAGAAGCAAAACCACGTCGCCCCCGGTTCTGCGCTCTAGAGCCTGTTCTTTTCAACGTGCAGGGGCAAGTGCTGAGAGGCTGAAACCCAGCACGTGTTTGATCTCCACTCCGCAGCTGGCGGAGGCGCGCTCCCGGCCAGCGCCCAGCCTTCCCGAGTCCTTCCCAGGCCGGTTTTAGATCGCACTGCAGGCTGCACTGCAAACACTTCACTGCTGATTCATCGAAGTGCCTGGGGAGAGCGAACGCTTCCTTCCTGGTGGTAAAGAAAAATCACCGTAGCACCAAAGGTATTCAAATGCCTCCACTGACCAAGTTCAAAAACAATCCTAAAACTGCAGTGAACTCTCAGAGCCCTGGGAAATAAAGAGGAAAGCGGAGCTCAAGTTTAGGCGAGCTTCAACGGAAATCAACCAGAATGTCTGCCTGGTGCCAATGGAAAAGAAGATGAAATTAATTCTCTTGTCTGATGGTCAAACACAAGCTCTATAAAATGCACAGCATTGGCAGTTCATTCTCAGTTTTAAAACGGGACGTGCCATTCAGAGACCCGGGGGTTATGGGCACCACACGGGCAGTGTGCAAGGCACAAGTACCACACTGTGAAAGCACTGTGCTAATCACAGTGGAGGGCTTCCTGGGACCGAAGCAACGCACGGCTCTTCTGTCGGCTTGAGGAGAAAACGCACAGAGCAGACACCCGCACACAGACGCGCACACACACACAGACGCACACACGCACGAGGGGACCGTTTCTGTATACCCTCCTGCGAGGCTGGGGTAAAGGGTTCAAGTGCACGGGAGCTGTGAGCCCAGATTGTCAGCTTTCCTAGTCACTCTGCATGGCTCTAGTCAAATGACTAGATCTGTGAGTTAAAAAAAAAAAAATGCTAATTTTAAATGGTATGCATCCATCAGTATAGTATGGGATTTTGAATAACATGAAACTCTTAGAGAAATGTCCCCAGTAAGAAAAGGAGAGCAATAAAAATGTGCCTCTAACTGTTGATAAATACAAAATAAATACACCTATTTTCAGGGGAAATTTCACTGTAGTACTCAGAAGCAAACCTGGATTAAAAGTACCGTGTGGTTTAAATAATTAGTTTGGAGACTGAGCTTTCATTATGACAACACTTTAGAAAGCTTAAAAAAAAACCCTGCAAGATCTCCACACCTCAAAGTACAGGGGAAGTTATTTATCCCCAAAATTTAGTAGGGTGTGTAGAGGCATAGTCCTGGATGGCTTCTAGAGGGCTTAATATGTTTATAACTTGTATTTAAAAAGAAACACTCTGAGTTTTTCAAGTTTCATATGTGGTTTCAAAGCAGAAAGCAGTATTCAAATGCAATGTTAAATTTTGCATGAATTTTGCAAATCTCATAGTCTTTACATAGAGCTGGGTGAGGAAGGGCATGAAGCTGGACCAAGAAATTTAAGAGTAAACAAATACACAAAACCCCTAGAATCACAATTTACCCTGTGTATTGTTTTCTTGTGAGACACATGAAATACGTATTTTATAAAGTTTAGAAGCCTTTTCGAATTTTAACAATAATAAGGAACAATTTATCAAGCGGCTACTATTTTCCAGGCCTTAGTTTTAGGTCACTTTGTGACGTTACAGGAGATGCCTATTTCATTCTTCAGATTTACAGAGCAAGGCGTTGGCCAGAGCGAGGCCAGAGTCACAGCCAGATCCACATTCTCCTGATCCTGCTTTGTCTTTAATAGAAAGGTTTTCATTGTACTATATCCTCTATATCTCTCAGGAAGTGACACGCACACCCTGGCACAAACAATAATAACTAGGTGAAGTGATGCCCAAATTGCCAGGCAAGACCCTTAAAACAATGCCATGAGTAACAACTTGAGAAGCTACCGGCTACTTCTGCGCCCTGCGCTGCGTACCAGGTGCTTTATATCTGTACGTGTACCTATGTATCTCTCTCTACAGGTCTAATGCCCACAGCTATCCTGAACATGGTTTTAGACGTGCCCTTGGTGCTGAAAAGCTGAGGTCTGGAGAGATCAGGCAGTGCACCCAAGGTTAAGGAAGCTACGTGGCAGAGCAGGGCTCAAACCTAGTCCTTTCTGAATTCCAAGGTGTTTTTTCCCTGCACATTGCCTGTGTCTCCCCCAAAGAAACAGGCTGTAACCAGAGTCAGATCGGGATATGGGAGTAGCACCACGCTGTTTCGTTCATTCAATTCATTCGTTCGGTCGTTCGTTCTTTCATTCATTCATGCAACAAATGTATATTGAGAGCTGTCTGTGTGCTAAATAAAAAGGAACACATTCAATTTACAAAGAAGTGGTCAAGAGCGAGAGGAATCAGAAGCAAGAGGAGAGGAGTTGAGGTTCAAGTTCACTAGACCTGCACAGGGTACATTAACAGACCTGGAGCAGGATGAAGGGGGCCCAAGGGGACAGGGGACAGGTAAACCCAGGCTCACAGCAGGTACCCTCACCTGCCAACCATGCCTACTTCTCCACGGGAATTTAAAGATTAATTTTTCCCCCAAACTCTCCCATCATAACTACTTTGGTCTGGATTTTCTTAAAGAGTAGATTTAAAATAATTGCACGTATTGTAAGAAAGATCTTAAGTTTTAGAACCAGAAATACCTAAGTTAGGAATCTAGCTCTCCCGCTTACCAGCCATTAAACACTCTGAGGATTGGTTTCCTCATCCGTAAAAGAACAATGTAATTCCTGTGTCCAGCAGCTGTGAGAATTAAATAACATATACCAAGCACACAGCACCCCTTTCTGCTTTATCCACTTCAAGTTCCTAAATTATGCCTTCTCAGAAAACAAGATAATTAATCAATAATCACAAAGCAATTGTAAAATAATATAATGTTGTAAACCCTAGATCAATATAATTTTTTCTTAAATTATATAATCCAGTTTGTTTGGATCTATGTGAGACAAATCAAATATTTCTGGTTAGGAGTAGCTACTGTTGATATTTTATGAGTCTCTTTCAAGACAAAATGTGGGTTTCCTTGCCAGAATTCCTGAAAATATCTGGTATTGTGGCACCCTGAGCTTTTCCTGTACCCAAACAAAACACGTCATTAGTGTTGCTAAGAAGGAGTGAATGTCAGGCATGTTCTCAGTGCTTATAGGAGCCTCTGCTTTCCTGTGAGCAGAAGGAGCTGGATTCAAAAGCCTCTGGATTTCCCCAAAAGTTCGGAGATGGGGTTTCTATTGGCTAGGGCGGCTTGTTGATGGAGGGACCTACGGTAGGGCTCAGGGCAATCAGAGGCTTCTGATCCACCTGGAAAATCTTTCTGAATGAGATGCCGAAGCCAGTGGTGCATTTGCTGAGCCCAGTTGCTTGCTCTGTGCAGGTCTAAGTGAGTTTCAGAAAAAATACAACAGACGAAATAGGTTATTTCTTCATTAGGTTATGTTGTAATGGGACATTTGCTATCTAGCTAATTATGTGAAAGTTGCCTTTCACAGTTTAATCAAAGGCTTCTGTCCACGAGTGCTCATCTTGCAAGAGGAACCCACAGCTCAGCAGGTCAAATAAATATCTGAGGGTAAACAGTTATGTCAGAGCCGAGATGAGAATTCAGGCTTCTTACAGTTGTGATTATAAAAGAGTCCATTCACTGAGATAATCTCATTAGAAAGTGTGCAGGAAGATAATTCATTAAGATCCCAATCAGTGGATTTATAGAAGAACAGTGTACATATAAAATGCATGATGACTTCTTTATTGAAATAAAGCAATTTTAGAAGGAGAAGGAAAGGGTGGTTTTAGTTCATTTATTTCAAAGTGCCATCTTTCATTTTTATGTGTACACATCATCTATTATAACTTGGCCTAAAGAGAGCTTTTGTGTGTTTATAGTTAAAGAGAGCTGTGCTAATAGAATAACATGTGCTTTCTCTCTCTCTCTCTCTCTCTCTCTCTCTCTCTCTCTCTATATATATATATCAACATAAGACTTTTAAACTGCTTGATTTATCTGCATCCTTTGTCAGAATAATTGCAATGTTGACCTTTGAGTTCTGAAATTTCATAGTTTTCAATCCTGACCATTAAAAAAAGCCAAATAACAGTATGTATACAAAATAATGGAAAAAAAACACCAAGGTTCTATAAGGACAATTAAGAAAATGTTCATTCAGGGAAAATATTTTCACAAGAAAACACAACACATACAGTCGCCCCCTTCCCCATCCACAGGGATAAGTTGTAAGACCCCCAGTGGATGCCTGAAAAAATAGATTCTTCCTGTACATACATACCTATGACAGGATTTAATTTATAAATTAGGCACAGTAAGAGATTTACAACAACAATAATAAAATAGAACAACTATTACAACATACTGTAACAAAAATGATGTGAATGTGGTCTCTGACTCTCCCGGTCCCTTAAAATGCCTTATTGTACCGGGCTCACATTTTCTCCTAAAGGAAGCATTTACAGCTCCTCTCTGGTGCATTCAATTGCCAGCATCACTGCTTTTGCACTTTGGGGCCATCATTAAGTAAAATAAGGGCGCCTTGGACACATACCCTGAGGGACCTTGACAGCTGACTTGATACCTGAGACAGCTACTAAGTGACTGAGGGACAGGGTCATACACAGTTCAGGCAGGGCCGGACACAGAAATGATTCCCGTCCCAGGTCGGGCGGAGCGGGCCGCCTGGAGGTTCCACCAACCTACTCAGGCCTGCGCACGATTTAAAACTCATGAATTATTTATTTCTGGAATTTTCCATGTAAACTTTTCAGGCCATGGTGGACCACAATTAACTGTTACACTGTGAAAAAAGTGAAGCTACGGCTACAGGGGGACTGCATCTAATTCCGACATTTGACTATAAAATAGTGGAAAGGCTGTCTTTTAAGGAAAAAAATCATAGGATTTAAACAAACAGGGCTCTGAAATATATTATATAATATCACCTACCTGCTTTTTTGAGAGACTTGTTCCAGTTTCTTGGCTAATGTACAGCACTCTTCCTTTAACTTTGTCAAAAATGTGTTCTGGGAGGTCAGCAATGAATACTGTTCATTTTCTAGAAATAACAACAAAGTCCCCACCAACATAAGATGTTTATGGTTGCAGCTCTGCAGGGCTTTCATATGCAGAGTGGTAAAAGCACATCCCCTATTAGCTACTAGGCCACGGTCAAAGTCCCAAGTCACTTGGGAAGACACTAAATCTTGTGAGACATTTATTTTTAGAATATTACTCACCAGAAACATTTTTTATCATACCCGCTTGGTGTAACGTTTTAACATGTTAATAGAGTATCCGATACCACAGTAGAATCATACCTGCTTGTAATATCTTGTCCTAGGCAAGCTATTATATTTTATTTTGACAATTTTGCTACAAAGTGTCAAAAATTATTATAATCGGATAATTCAAAACAAAGATATCGAGTAACCCCCAAACTATAATTTGCGCTTCACGTTCACGCACATGACCCGCCCCCTCCCAATCTTGCATATACTTGTCTAATGACAAAGGTAAAATACATAATTCGATTTCATTGTCAATGGTATAAGCTTCAATGAAGAGCTGGTCAAAGAAATTGAAGACAGTGTGGTATTTTTATGCAACATAAAAGGAAGTGTTGTTAAGATGGTTCTAACAGTCACATACTCTTATCTCACTCAGAGATTCTGTCTATTGCCATGATCGCTAAGATATGCTCGCCAGAGGTGGGGGGGTTGGGGAGGGGAGGACAATAATTTAGCCCATAATTTCCTCCTTTTTTTGTGAAAAACATCTAATAAGCCTGGAGAAATTTCATTTCTTCTGACCAAACGTTGGTAGAAAATCTCTAATGAAAGTGCTGGAGCGAATTACAAGTCAATGTGACGTCTGCCTCTTTAAGAAAAGGGATTATTTAATGAATTTTACTGTAGCAATGTTTCACCTATAGGATAAGCAGTCATGTTTTACCATGCCAACAAACACGGTATACATTACATGATGTGAAAATTACTTTCAAGTGTAAGGTCCTTTATTTCTTTTCAATCTTAGCAAAAAAAGCATATAGCATGCACAAAGCAAAATAAATCAAAGCACTAAAAAGTAAGCAACATTTTTCTGGAAGAGACGGGATCAATTAAACTTTTGTTTTAATAGGACAATCAGCTCGGAGTATGTGGTGTGGAATTATAATGAGTGATACTGTCTTGTTTTGACTAACACTGTCTGTGAACACCCAACTCAAAAGTGAAAAGAACTACATAATGCTCCGACTGAACAAATCAAACTGCCTATTTTCAAAGTGCATTTTACTTTCAAATTAAAGGTAAGGAGTTACTGGCCAACTCAGTGTGCAGAATAGCGCCAATGTGATGAAAGATGGCAATTTTTAGCCAAGCTGCCAGCTGTGGTCAATGCCTTGTATTAGTGAATTTTAACAGCAGTTGTGAGAACTTGAAGAATGCAAAGGATTAAACATCACTCTAGATTGGGCTGGGGGAGGTGGGGGCATCATACAAATGCTAAAAATGTTCGAAGCTGCAAAGATTAAATAAAGGAACATATCAATTTGGAGCCACTGAATTACATCCAGCTGCGACAGTGAATTAAGAACCGATTAATGGCTAAAGCTTTTCTCCAGTTTGGATGCTGAAGCAAACTCATTAGGCTTTTAGAGTAGCTATAATGTGTGTACTGTGGGAACTGTTCAATGCTATTCAGGAGACTTTAACTGTAAGCTCAGAGCATTTCCCGCAGAGCTTCTGATGCTATTTTCTTTATATAACATGTGTGCCTGCAAACCCAGCCAAAAACAAGCCCTTTGTTTTTCTACTTTGTTGTGGTCTCTCTCAGCTTTACGTTTCTTGAACACAGGTAAATAAACTCATAATCCAGATGGTGCAACAGATGTGAGACCAGCACTCTGAAATCAACAGACAGTGGGCAATACTTTCCATTTTCTCTTTTAAACGCTAACTAATATGTAATCCGGAATCTCCGGTGTAGTTAGCATCTGCTCCCTTCGGCCAGCCAAAGGTTACAGGTGTTCCTGATGTCATTTCACAGTAAGGCGTGGGCCTGGCTTGTGAGCCCATGTGCCGGGGCTCTAATCTCTCCCCACCACCTACCAGCCTTGTCATGCTGGGCCTCCATTTGCTGTATCTTCTCTGTCAGCTCCCGCTCTCTTTGCTGGGCCTGAAGGGCCTGGGCCTTTGCTTCGTTGCTAAAGCTTTGCTGAATGCTCTCTTTTTCCAGTCTACAAAGCAGAGCGGAGACGGACAGAAATTCAATCTACAGATGCACACACCCCCATCATTTCCCCTGCAGACCACAGAGAGCTGATCTGCAGTAATTGTTCAGCATAAAAAGACATCGGTCCTCCCACCCGCTCCCCACTCCCCCCGCCCCCATTTAGGGGGAAAATCCGAAGGGCCTTGCGTACAATGTTAGATACATACCATAAATCCAAATGGACTACTCGACCGTAAACCTCAAAAAATCGTGACAATTGGATAATGGTAGTTTGTAACCTTAAAACACAGACTCCTTCCGCTACAACATTCTTAATATTTTGTACCACTAGTGAGCATTTTATCTGATGACTGGTTAATGTTTCCCAAAGATTCTGGAGCTATAGGAAGAGCATGGCTCCATACACCAGACCTAAATTCTGGAAACGAGGCCCTGTAGACCACCTCTACTTTTCCTCCCAAACTTAAGATGGGATCGCCAAAATAATGTAAGAGATGCTATCTAGAGGCAAGTAAAGGATTCTGCAATACCACATGCATGTTTTTGTTAAATATTTTCACACACTGGGTCATGTAAATATATACACACACATATATATATACACATACATATGAATATGAAATAAATAACTTCCCCAGCACCTCACCATAAAACCCTTTTTTAGATCACATTAAAACTGCAGGATCAGGAGCTTATCTAGTCAAAGACACTATGCCATCCCACTGTGATTGGATATTGACTCAACCCATTGGGACCCAATGGTCAATAGTCAATCACAGTGCCTCCTAAAGAGACACTTCCTAAACATCAGAACCTGCAGGACGAAAGGGCGCCATGGTGCGCAGCACTGCGGGCGCTGACACTGCGTGTGTGCACACACACGCACACACATGGTGTTGGTTCTTCGCACTCTAAATATGAATAAGTGAGATAAGGGTTTCCTTCAATTAACTGGCCTAGTTATTTCTAACTCCTGATCCCTTGTGGGCATTTCTCATCCATGCTGCTTTAGTTTACTAATTGAGATATTTACTGCCTTGCCTTTGCCAAACTAAAAATAAACATTTCCATAAAGCTCTCACTACTAGTCTACGTACCGCTGCGGAACTTCAATTCGCTGGCTTCTAATTATAAAGCAACATAAGGAAAGCCTGTATTGAAATTGGTCAATGCATGTGGTAATGTTGTAGTGTAAAATTCCAGAATGAAAATAAACCCACACCTCACTCAAATGGAAGCATCAGGGATCCAGGCTGAAAATGTGAAAAAAGGTCTCTTCTGGTGCTTCTAATAATGACACCCCCTTGGATGTGCTCCAAGGTCTTGCCTGAGACTCAGTTCCAAACTGGTATCTAGCAACAAATAGAGAGTTGGACTAGGATACTTTTTGCCTCCCTAGTCCCTCCACGTACTTTCTGGCTATGGATCACTGCGTGTCTTTTTGTCTCTCTGGGATGTCTCCCCCCCCCTCCCTTTATCACCGCGCCCCCACCCCGTTCCCAGGCCCTGTACACTACTTCTTTAAGGCCTGCTCAAAATTCCCCCTTTCCATTTTTTCTTTCTACATGAACTATTCTTTTTCTAGTGACCTCAATATATGTTGTGCATATTTATATCCTACTAAGATAGCATTAATCCCATTTTAGTTACTGGTTTACACATCTGTTTACTTTACATCTGTTTTCACTTTAGTTACTAGTTTCTTTGTCATCTTTCTCTCTCTGTGGCCTGAGCCCAGCTCCGCACTTGGTACCTAAGTCATGGGCAGTGAGTGTTTAATGAATGGACATTCTTAAACCCTGACCGTAGTGCAGGGCGGGGGCCAGGGAGGCAGGCTGCGGTCTCTATGTGAAGCTGCAGATGCTGCTCAAATCTCAGATGCGGAGGCACAAACTTTTCGGCTATGTTACAACAGAGCGCCTAGGAGAGATGGCTCTAATAGCTTTGGCAACCAAGGATGATGCTGCTGAGAGAGTCAACCCCAAACGAGCACCGTGGACCCTTTCCCTGAGTAACATCCTCACGTAAGACCCAGCATAGAGCAGGGGATATAGGAAGGGAGACCTGGGGCTCTGAGTTCCCTAAGAACTGGGTGGCCATACAATGCATTGTTCAAAACCAGTACCCATGGGAGAATGAAAAGGGGGACCAATCATATTTACACATAGACAATAGTTGTACCTGGGACTGTCTTTGGCAAACTGGGGCTTATGTTCCCTCCACATAGAGGGGATGGCAGCCTCACTATCCATTTTCAGCATGAGAAGCTGCCTAATTACTGATGTTCTCAATTAATTGAAGAGAAGAACTATGGCTATTGTGGTTCTCTGAAGACAACAGTTTAAAGGATCCGCTACCAACAAATGTTGAGTTTCACATCAACTTCTCTTTCTTGAATCCTTCTTTACTTTCACTCTTTTTAAGAAAATACACATTTTATTTTTCATTGCATAAAAACTTGGCACATTTTTGCTTTCCTACGTCCTTCTTCTCCCTTCCTCCTATGTTGCCTTCTGCCCTTGCAGGTTCTTTCCATGTAGTAGGCTTTTCGTAAAATCTTAGAATGTTAGAAGTGAAAGGGAACCTCAAATTTGTTTACTCAAATCCTCTCATATTGCAGTTGGGAGAAAAGAGCATCCTAAATAATTAGAAATATGCTCAAAGATTACACTGTCAGTGATGTAAAGGCAGAAGTGAGATTTGAAATGCTGTGATTTAGGGAAACTTATTTTATAACCCTCTGGGGTAATGCAAAAATGGATTGAAAGAATTTATAAAAACCACTTAGGTATCCAAGGAAGGGATTAGAGAAAAATCCAAAGGAGTACAATTGTATATTTATTATAACTCTATTATGTGAAAGACAATCTACTAGGCACTGGGTCAAATAAAGATAAATAGAGCATAGTCCTTACCCTAAAAGGAAATCCAAAGTGGCAAAAATAGAAAGTAGGAGGTGAAATGCACCCCAAGAAAGGTAGAAGGGGAAAACTAGCAACACACAGAAAAATCAGAGGTTATTTCCAGCTAGGTTTAAGAGACCCATAAAGAGTGGCTGAGCCAGTTTCCCAACTGGCTTTCATTCAGTTCTCAAAACACTGATGATCACGTTGAATCAGACTTGTGGTTACCTGTATTTCACAAATCAGAATGAAAGCTATGGTGTTAAAGAATTTCTTGGTTGAAATTAAAGAATTAAAGTCAGACTGAAAGATTTATTCATAATAGCTAAGAACTGGAAACAACCTAAATGACCACAAACTGCTAAATGGATAAACAAACTGTGGTATAGCCTCACAATGACATACTCGCAATAGGAGCGATACAAAGGAATGAACTACTATTACCTACAAAACAGGGATGAACCTCAAAAGCATACACAAGAAGCCAGACACCCAGAACATATTGTATGATTTCATTTATATGACATCCTAGAAAACTACATACTAGAGTGAGAAATCAGCATTGCCAGGACTGGGACGTAGGGGACAGGCACAAGGGAACGTTTTGTGCTGATAGAAATATTTCGTATCATGATTGTTACGATTAAAACTGTATAATTTGTCAAAATACATTTAATTGCACACTTGAAATTATTCATTTTTATGATATTTAAATTGACCTCAGTAGAGCTGATTTTTAAAGGAGTAAATACACCAGAATAGGAACACCCACCCTTTCCTCCAAGCTACCCTGTCCCCTGAGGTCACACGGGCATGTGTGGCCCACATCAGTGTTTCCTGATGGCAGTTAACAGTGAAAAGGAGTAAGCAAGCCCTTGAAAGGCCTCAAACATGAGCTAAGTAAACACAGAGGGTTCGTCCCTCCTTTTTCCAATTATAGTTCTGGTTGATTATATTTTCTAAAACTGTAATATTAGCGTCCCATAAAAAAGGAGGCTGAAGAATAAACCTGATATTTGGGACCCTCGACTTTTCTATATCATTTTTTACTTTAAATCCTGCTATTTTAAAGATACCCATTCTGCAGAGTAAAAATGACTCATTAGAAAATTTCTAGGTACTTTTTTAATGTTACAGCTACATGAAAGACTATAGCTGCTGCTGCTGCTAAAGTTCGTCAACGAATCTGGGACAGACGTGACAGGAGTCTCAAGCCTAACCTGAGAACGAGGTCCTGGGAGCGGTGGCAATTCCAGTCACCAATTCCATCTGCCATGTTTCTATTTACTTCTCACTGAAGTTCTTGTATTAGACATACAACCTCTGATTAAAAGAGGGTTCCCTGTTAAAGTACAACCTGAAAGCTTTGGGCACACTAATGTGACAAAACTTAGGAGAACATTTATAACACGTTTACTATCTGAGATCCATTCACGAAGGACCTACAGAGAAGCAGCAGGGAGGCCTCAGGGACGCTTGTGAGCTAACACGCATGGTGGCCATTTGTCCCGATACTCGTGATAATACCTTTGACCACTTGGTTAACGTTCTGGGTGTGCTGGAAGATGTTTAATAATTAGTCTCTGGAGGGAAAACATCCCTCCTTATAGTAGTTGCCAATTTTCAGCGTAAATACTTCTACGATGGCTGGTTTCAAGCCACCAAGGTGCCACCGCTCATCGCAGAGCTGGGAAGAAGTATACACAACTGGCCTTCATGAGCTACTGTCCCTGGAACAAGCCTGTAAGTGGTGTGGTGGTCTTTCCCAGGCTTCTCCATTGCTGAGTTGCCATTTCCCTGTTTGTCATCATGCACTAGGTCATTTGTTGCGAGATGCTAAGATCATCCTATTCCACATCAAACTCTCACCTACCAGTTTTACATATAATGAGGACTTTTCACCTATAACGTTCCTTTTCACTAGTTAATACTGTGCTAAAAGGAAGAGCTTTCCCTTTTCTCTTATTTGTTAGTTTATTGATATCAGCATGGAGTCGTGGATAATCCATGATGATCATTATTTATTTTTATGTTCAACTCATCCTAGATTTGGCCAGTGGGAACCACTCAAGCTGGTTCCTGGGTGATATATTTCTGTTAT